TACAACACAGATGAACCTTGAGGACATTATGCAAAGTAAATAAGCCAGTCACAAAGAGACAAATACTGTATGATTCACTTATATGGAATCATAGAGACAGAAAGCGGAATGGTGGTTGCCAGGGCCTAGGACACGGAGAAATGGGGAGTTGTTGTTTAATGGGTTCTAGCATTTCGGTTTTACAAGATGAAAAAGTTCTGGAGATTGGTTACACAACGATGTGAATATGATTCACAATGCTGAACTTACACTTAAGAATGGTTAAGATGGGGGGCGCCTGGGTGGCTTAATCGGTTAAGTGTTGGACCCTTGATTTTAGCTTAGGTCATGATCTCAGGGTCGTGAGGTTGAGCCCCACATCCGGTCCCACGTTCAGCGTGGCATCTGCTTGGAGATTTCCTCTGCCCCTTCCCCCACACACTCTCTCTTAAATAAATAAAAATCTTTAAAAAAATTAAAAAGAATGGTTAAGATGGTACCTTTTATGTTATGTGTATTTTACAATCAAAAATTAAAAAAAAATTTTAAAAGCAACTATAATTACCATTCTTTGAGACATGAACAAGAATGGGATGCTCTAAAAAAGAAAGAAAAATTGCTCTTTTAGAAATGAAAAGTTATGAGAAAAGATATGAAAAAAAAAATCTAATGGAAAGGTTGGAAGATAAAGTTGAGGTAATTTCCCAGAAAACAAAACAAACATTTTTAAAAATGGAAAACTGGAGAGAACATTTTGAAAAATGAGAAGACCAGTCCAAGAGGTCCAACATCTAACTAAAAAAAGGTCTGCAAAGAAAAAACAAAAAACAAAAAACAAAACAGAAAACAGAATGGAGGGTATTAACACAAAGAAATGTCCCTCAAATTGATTTCCAGATTAAAAGGCTCATCAAGTGCCCAGAGTCAATGCACATCACTATGAAACTTTAGACCTCTGCAAGACCCTTTAAACTTTCAGAGAGAAAAATCAGGTCACAAGCACAGGATCAGGTATCAGAATGTCATTTGACGTTTCAACAACAAGTGGATCGTGTCCTCAAAATTCCCAGGGAAATTTATTTCCAATCTAAAATTCTACATCCAGCCAAACTCTCTATCAAAGCCACTGGAAAAGAGAAATGCCAAAACAAGGAAAGAGACCAAGGTGGGGGGAGAGCAGAAGCAAGGGATCCATTAAACAGGATCCAACCCAGGAAACAGGCAAAAGAAACTCCCCAGGATGGTAGCAGAGCTAAGTACAGCTAAGTCTACAGAGTCACCGGAGCAGATTGGAGGCCGGAGAGGATGCCTCCAGGAGGGATGTCTCTGAGAAACACCTAGAACTGAAAGACCACCTGGTGCATTCAACCAGGTTGGACAGTCGGGGGCTGAATGAGTTAATAGATACAGTACATAAGGAAGTTTTTTTTTAAATAATGCAATTACCTATTTCTGGAAAAGCGAAACAGTTGTCCAATAAGGTAAGTGGAATCATAACACACTTCAAGGCTCAGCTTTGAATGTTTGCAAGATCATAATAATTAAGCAATGAACACTGAACACTGACAACAAAATGTTTGGACTAATACTGGGAGGAAGGAGGGAAGAAAAACGTGTGTGATGGGGTAGATCAAAAGGCATCAAATCTTCATCTTCCGCAGGAGGTGGGCAATAGATAAAGTTTTAAAAACTAGAGAGTGAATTAGATGTGTTATTTAAAAACATGGAGGCATACAACAATAGTGCCGTCTCAAATGTGTAAAAGAGTGGTTGTGTTTAGAAGTAAGAATTGAGACTGAGGAAGGGTAGAGCAGGAGATTGATCTCCTTTTACGTATAAGCCCACTATTCGGCAGCTACTGGACTTTTAAAAAATAATACAAGTATCAAAAAAATTAAAATAAAAATAATACAAATATCAATATGATAGAAATAAAAATGAGTGGAAAAAGGACAAAAAAAAAAAATCCAACTGCACACCAGTCCCTAAAGCAATGACGGCTGATGCAAAGTTGGGAGCTCTTACCAAGGACCTGAGTGAGGGGAATGTGAATAGAAAGGACAGTGAAGCTCTGGGTGCAACTGAGCCCTCTAAAGGACCAAACTTGGCAGAAATGCAGAAGGTCTGAGACCAAGCCTGGGGGTGTAAGGAGGAGCCCCCCAAGTGAGGCGTGGTTCTGGGGGTGGGGGGAGAAGGTGGGACTCCCTGCCTCAATGAGGCTAAGTGAGTTGTGAACAAGATAACAAAAGGGCTCACAATGTCAAATGCTGCTTTGAGGTCCAGGGGATTTAACATAAAAGCAGACTATTGCACACTGATCTCACACAGCCCTGGGTGATCCTCCAGAGACGATTTCCCAAAGGCAGTGGGAACAGAAGGCATGCTACCAGGACTAGGTGAGCAAGCTTAGGGAGGCAGTGAAGGCTCTCGAGGCTGCACACCTACCTGCAGCTCCTTGATCTCTCCTTCTCTGGAAGGCAGGAGGCTCAGTGACCAGATAAAACGCATGCAATCCTGGGGACCTACTTATACGAAAAAATTGTTGTTTATCTGAAATTCAAATTTAACTCTGTGAGTCCTGCATCCTTATATGTGAACCGAGCAACCTCAAGAGGCTTGGAGGTATCTCGGTTTTGCACACTGATACTTCGCTGCTGGCCACTCCCACCAGCACCCTCCCAAGAGGGGAATACAAGGCACCCTCACCCAGGTGGCGAGGTCCAGAGGGTGGACCCCAAGGCAGGAAATAGCAGCATTTCTCAGTGAGCTACCTTTCAGTCAAAACCATCTCAAGTCTTTTCTATAAAGGGAGTTGGTTGAGTTAATGCCTCCGTTGGCCCAAGAGGCAAATCTAGCCCCAAGAAAAGCACTCAGATAAAGCCTCATTGTGCTTTCAGAGCCTGTTCTCTTGTGGGGAAATGAGGCCACATCTACAGAGTGGGAACAGTGGGAGGCTTCCATGTCCTTTCTGGGTGATTGTTGATCACAAGCACGTATTACTTTTATAATCACTAAAAAGCAATAGACATTTCCATATTGAAAATAAAATGAGGCCACAGTAGACCAGATCATCTGTGAGACCCCCTCCAAAGCTAAGATTCTGCAATTCTAAGTAATTGCTTGTTCTTTATTTGCATGTCATTTTAGGAGCATTCAGTGATGCAGCCTAGTTGCAGTGGGGTTTGTTTTGTTTTGTTTTGTTGGGGGGGGGGTGTTTGGGAGGTTTCTTTGTTTGGTTGGTTGGGGTTTTTTTTTACTTTTATTCCCCCAAGGACTCTGAACCCAGCCACTCACTACTGGCACCTGCTAACCCCGAATGTTGAACACACAGTCTCCCCGCTGCCCCGACTCCCAGAGGTCACTTGGCTTGCCTGGCCAGGCCCAAGCCTCTGAGCTCATTCCTGACCTGGAAGCCTCCCTAGATGACCTGTTCTGAAGCCAAGGAAAGAGCCTGGATGTTGGCTGTGTGAGAGCCCAAGGTCGTGAGACTCCTGGGCCCCATCAGAGCCGACCTGGGATTCTACAGAACCTGTGGCTTAACAAATCCTGAAAGGGGGAGATGCATCCCCCACCCCCAGGGACAACTGTCTCTTTCCGAGTACTCCAGTCCCCCTCCCCAGTTAAAGCCCCCACTGATGGGTCACAGGAGAAGATGGAAAATGCCCATCCAGATGCAGCATTCGTGGACTCCTAGAAGGGTGAGGGCCTGCTTCTGGGTCAGCCAAACCTGAGCAGAGCACTAAGTCCCACCTCCTACTAGCCCTTTGACCTTGGGCAAGTCACTTAACTGAGCCTGGACTGTTCTGAGGATTAAAGGAGATAATGAATGCAAAACCCCAGGGCTTTCGGGAGCAGGACTGGTCTTCACAAACAGGAGTCTTACCTATTTAATCCTCAGAGAGCCCAAAGGCAGCCCTTTGGCCACAAGGAGCTTTTCAGCTGCAATTCCCACAGACCCAGGGCTGCTCAGGAAAATTCCCCAACCCTGAAAAAGTACCCTCCTGCTTCGGGCCAGGCGAGGGGCTCTACCAGGCGCCGGAGCAGTGACTGCTCTCCTAGCTCAGGCGCAGAGGCCTGGCCCATGACCTTGGAAGAACCGAGGAGAAAGCTTCACCAAGCGACAGTACTTTTCCACTGCACAGCTCGGCCACCTCAGCTGGCTTTCTGCTGTGCAGACAGGAGGCAAAGTGCGCCAGGCCAGCCCGATGAGGAACCCACCCAAAAGCTCTCTCAGAGATGGGGGTAGGGACATGCAGTGACTGACGGGCAGCAGGAATCCTGGAGAGAGGAGGGGGATCCCTCCACGCTAAGGGGAGCGTGGAGACCACCAGGGGGGTCAGAGAAATGTGCATTTAGCAAAGCCCTCCGGTACATTTCAAAAGATTCCTACTCCTTAACTTCCCCTCCATCCCCACCCCTCCAGTAAGAATGATTAAACCCGTTCCACCGCGCCTGTGCCGGGTCCCGGGAGAAGAGCAGCGCTAGCCGGCGCGGGGGAGGAGAGAGAGGAGGGCGAGGGGAGGGGACAAGAGAGCTAGCGGTCCCGCCCGGTGATGTAGGCAGCCCGGGGAGGTGGAGCCGCGACGCCTGAAGGAGTCCCCACCGCAATCGCGCTCTCGGTCTACCCCTCCGAGCGGCCAGCCGCCAGCCCCAGCTCCGGCGACCTCCCTGCCGCCACAATTTGGGCGGCGGGGACTGCGGGATTCCCCCCCCAACCAGTTCGGGCCCGGGGGGCCCCTCCACCACGCCCATCCCCCCTCCCCTCCTCGTTTCCCGGACGGCTGGAGCTACTCCCGGGGGAAGCTGTTCCCGGACGCTCGGCCGCCGCCCCGGCATCTCGGCTGCCAGCCCGGCCGGGCACCGGGCATCTCCGGGCACCGACTGGCTCCGGCGCCGCCCAGCTGCTCGCGACCCCGGGGCCGCGGGCTTCTGCTCGCCCTCCCCTCCCCCCGGCCGCCGGGCAGGAAGCCCGTGAGCACCCGGTGCCCCCAGCCCCTTTGGCCGCCGCCGCCGCCGCCGCGATGCTGCCCTGGAGACGCAACAAATTCGTGCTGGTGGAGGACGAGGCCAAGTGCAAGGCGAAGAGCCTGAGTCCGGGACTCGCCTACACGTCGCTACTCTCTAGCTTCCTGCGCTCCTGCCCGGACCTGCTGCCCGACTGGCCGCTGGAGCGCCTGGGCCGCGTGTTCCGCAGCCGGCGCCAGAAAGTGGAGCTCAACAAGGAGGACCCGACCTACACCGTGTGGTACCTGGGCAACGCCGTCACCCTGCACGCCAAGGGCGACGGCTGCACCGACGACGCCGTGGGCAAGATCTGGGCGCGCTGCGGGCCGGGCGGGGGCACCAAGATGAAGCTGACGCTGGGGCCGCACGGCATCCGCATGCAGCCGTGCGAGCGCGGCGCCTCGGGGGGCTCGGGGGGCTCGGGGGGCCGCCGGCCGGCGCACGCCTACCTGCTGCCGCGCATCACCTACTGCACCGCGGACGGGCGCCACCCGCGCGTCTTCGCCTGGGTCTATCGCCACCAGGCGCGCCACAAGGCCGTGGTGCTGCGCTGCCACGCCGTGCTGCTGGCGCGGGCGCACAAGGCGCGCGCCCTGGCCCGCCTGCTCCGCCAGACCGCGCTGGCGGCCTTCAGCGACTTCAAGCGCCTGCAGCGCCAGAGCGACGCTCGCCACGTGCGCCAGCAGCACCTCCGCGCGGGGGGCGCCGCCGCCTCGGTGCCCCGCGCCCCGCTGCGCCGGCTGCTCAACGCCAAGTGCGCCTACCGGCCGCCGGCCGCCGAGCGCGGCCGTGGGGCGCCGCGCCTCAGCAGCATCCAGGAGGAGGACGAGGAGGAGGACGGAGACGCGGAGGAGCGCGAGCGGCCCGAGGTGCTCAGCCTGGCCCGGGAGCTGAGGACGTGCAGCCTGCGGGGCGCCCCGGCACAGCCGGCGCCCGCGCAGCCCCGCCGCTGGAAGGCCGGCCCCAGGGAGCGGGCGGGCCAGGCACGCTGAGAGCGCAGGGGAGGGGGGGCGGAGGGGGGGGCGCAGGACTGGCGGCCCCAGCCCCCCGCCGGCCTGACTTCCAGCCTCCAACCCTGGCCCTGCCCGCTTCGGCTCCCCTCTGGTCCCCCGGCCCTTGCCTCCCTCGTGGTCTCTGTTGTTGTCTGCCCCCGCGTCTCATCCTGGCTCAGGGTGACGCCTGATATGCCCTTGATTATTGGGGGACGAAGGGGAGGAGAGCAGCAGAAGTATTTGACGTTCACCTCTCCCCCACATCCGGAGTTGCTGAGCGCCCTCCATCGTGGAATTGCCCGTAAGCTTTACAACAGGTCTTTGCCCATAGACCACCCTCTCCCTCCCAAAACAACCTCTCCAAAGAAGGGGGAAGAAGTTTCCAGAAATCCAGGAGGATGGCCTTGGACGTTGGCCAGGTGGAAGCCGTGGTCCTGCCCTTGGCCAGTCAAGACTTCCTCCCTGGGATGGGACCAGTTCTGGCCAGGCATTCTTGCAGAGAAAGAATAGTGGCCCCAGAGACCTGAGGCCAGGTCCAAGGTGGGAAGTGAGTCGGCTGCCATACACACAAGGAAGGATTCTCAGGCCCTATGCCTGGCCTCTCTACCCCTTGGAGGATTTCTGGACTTCACTGCTCTGTCTCTGGAGAAGACTGGGCTGGTCCTACCAACCCAAACAACAGGTTAGAGCAGGTAACAGCCCTCTGCTCCAGGCAGCTGCCCGACTATGCCCTGGCACCCAGCACCCCCACAAGACTCCACCTGCCCCACATCTCTGCAGACAGATGTGTGGGGTTCCCCACTAGGTCTCCAGAGGAGGTAAAGAGAACCTTTGGCAGGTGCTTGAGGACACTGACCACCCAGAAAATGGACACAGGAGGAATACCACCCTCCCACCCCCCACCCCCCCACCCCCGTCCCCTGAGTCAGGGCTTGTCAGAGCAGGAGGGTCCTGACAGCAGTTGGGTTCTCATAGCCCGCTGAGGAAGGGGAGTGTGTTCACCCAGCAGAGGGAGTGGGCCCCTGCCCAGGTGTCTCTCAACAAGGCCACAAAAAGCCCAAAGATCTATGCGTCACCAACTGATCGTTGTAAATAAAGTGGACCTGCTTTTTCATCCTTGTCTCCACTCCTGTGTTTTGTTTGATGCCAGGCCTGCTGGGGACAAAAACACTATCAGAACCCTAAGGGACAGGAGAAGACCCTAGGAAGGGGCCCCCTGTAGCGGCCAGAGCCAACCGGCAGGATTGGTGGGGAGGGGCTACTGCCAGGAAGCTGTTCCCTTAAAGTCAGGGAAGGAGACAGTAGCAGGTGTGACATCACATGTGCCAAGCCTTGGAGGAGTGTCAGCTGTCTGTCTTGGCCTCCCAAAATGTCTGTCTGCCTGGGCACTCAGAGGCAAGTGTCTCTGGGACATTTGGCAGGGAGGGGGCCCGGGCCTGGGGACTTCTCATCAGCCTCGCCTCTTTGGGAAGATGCCCGTGTATGTCAGAGCCTGTGGTATGCATCCGGTGTCTCCCCAGTGATGAGGAGGGGGGCAGGTTGTAAAGGAGATGGGATGGGCAGCCCATTTTTCTTTCAGAGGAGCTAGAGAAATCTGCCCAGACCTTTGTGACAGGGTGAGTCTCGAGCTTGGATATCTTCTTTATTCCTGTGCTGAGCTGGGCACTGATCCCAGACTTCTCCGGAGCCCAGATGAGTGGCCCCTGCAGTGGCCGGCAGTCAGAACTGTTCTGTTTCCTGGAGCTGCTGGAACAGAGGGTACTGCTGCCGCTTCACCTGCAGAGCCCAGGCAGGGTCGGGGTGCCTCGAAGGGGCAGGCTGGATGGGGGAAGAGGGATGACAAGGACCCACCAGCCAGGATGCCCCGCATGTTCATGGCTCCCCTCTTACACATTGCCAGCGGCTTTGTGGGCGTTTCTCCCCATTTGCAAAAGGAGAAGAGGACGCGGGAAGATGTCAGACCTGGGAGAGCAGGATGTGCTGCCATCGAGGCAGCTGCTGGTGTTTGAGGCAACCTCAGCCGGAAACAAGGTCACAAGCGTACCCTCTCTAATCAGACTCACGGGGCAGATGCTGCCCCGGCGCCTGTCTTGGGACAGGCACTGAGCTAGACACTGGGGGTCCAGGAGTCCCTCCCCTGGGGCTCTTAGTCTTAGGTGAGATGCACATGATTAAAGGAGTAGGTGCTGCATAATAATTCACAGGCCCATTCTCAGCCTCAGCTCCTACTCCTTTATGGCTGAATAATATTCCATTACACACACACACACACACACACACACACACACACACACACACACAACCACCTCCTCCCTCCTTCCCTCCTTCACACTCTACTCTCTATACCTGGGGTTAGAAGACCGGGGTGAGGGGACTCTGCCTTCTTAGCAGCTGTGGGACATGGGGCAACTCACTCAGCCTCTCTGAGCCTCACCTTTATTAACAGTAAAAATAGGGATAATATCAACCTCACAGGCTAACTGTAAGAATGAAGTAGAATCCTACCTGAAAACACTTTGGTAAATAATAAAACACTCAGCACATATGCAGAACAGCCATTTTACCCAGAGGGCCCTTCTCTTTAGATTAGGACTTCAGGGTGCTTCTCCACCACCCCATCCCCCCCCAGGCCCGCAGCAGTGGTCACAAGTTGTCTTCCTGGCCACATCTCCACCTTCAATGTGCAGGGTGGGAGGGAGGAGCCAGGGCAACTTCTGTCCATCTGTAGGTTGTGGATGACATAAACCACAGCATAGCACCAGCTGCCACCAGGCTACAGACGGGGATCTCTGGGGGCATCACTGCCACCAAGTGAGGGGGACCACTCCCACCTCCATCTCTGCACTGACCTTGGCTTTCTCCCTGATCTTAGGCACAGGATGGAGAAGAACCTTGAGCATTGGTCAAGCTGTCCGGTGCCCCTGCATTCTCTCTTCCGCCCGCCACAGGCTCCCCACCTGTAAAATGAAAATTTGGGTGGGGGGTGGACCAGCGGTTTTCAAATCATGTCCCTCTGATTCCCCAGTGGTGCCCAAGGTGCTGCTGTGGGGAGTGATGGGGAGCTGAGATGGGAAGGCCCCCCAACCTGCCTTAACTGAAGCAGCCTAATCTCGTTTCTCTTTGGGGTTTCTGTGATGCCCTTTGAATAAGGGGATCTTCCCGATTTTTCTTTTTTAAGTTGAAATCATTGGGTGACCTGCTACACACGTCCAAGTTCTGTTGGGCTGACGAGGCCTAAGAAGTAACACTGGCGTGTGTCTTCCTGGGACGCCTTGGGCCTTATTTCCCGCTCTCCCGATGCCCCTCCACAGCCACTGGTCTGTGACAAATGTGGCTTGTGCCATAGCCCACAACTCCCAGGGTCAAGCGACCGGCCCGCCCATTAATGCCATCCTGACTCCCCCTGTTCCTCTTCCGTACGGGGATCCTGTTCCCAGCTCCCCAGACATGGCCATGTGCTCCCACCTCTAGGCTTGGGCCTGTTCTCACTACCGGGGATGTCCTCTTTGGCTACACTTTTTCAAATCCTACCCTCTCTTCGAGGCCCAGCTCAAATCCCACCTCCTCCAAGCTCTCCCTAATGCATACCCCTCCTCCACTCCTGCCAGATCTGGGGGTGATCTCTCCTCTCAAGCTCGCACAGGACATGGTCCTCATCACGTTACTCCTGGGATTGCTCTTTTTCTGTGTGTCTCTCGTAGAAATCCATTTCACTTCCCACCCCCTCCGGTACCTTGACCACAGCGGGGCAAGAGTCGGTGCTCGATACTAATGTGCTGAATGAGTGCATGAATGAGCCAGATGGAAGAGCCATCACGGGATAGGAAACCAAGTGGGTGGAGAAGCGTTCTTTCTGCCAAGCTTCTGCCTGGAGATGCTGAAGAACTATATCCTCAGACGCCCTGTTGAGACGGATGGCTATTCTTGGGGAGAACATCAGCAGCCTGACATGAGGCCACTGGGGGAAACCAAAGCCGCCGTCCCCGGGGTCTGCTCCATGCTCCAAAGCCTCAGGACTGGGCCTTCTCGCTCTGTGGGCTAGACCAGTGCCCAGCACAGGGCTGACACTGACGGTACAGAGCAGCTCCTCGTGGGGACCAGCCACTCTCCAGGCATGCTGGCTGGGTAGCAGGAGGACCATGCAGACAGCTGCAGTCTCTAATTTAACACACAGACAATCGAACCTGGGTTTGGGCGTCAGACACACCCGAATGCCAGCCCCAGAGCTGCCCTTGGACAGCTGAATAACTTTGGGCAGGTTTCTGAAGGTTTCCGGAGCCTTGGTCTTCCATCTGTAAAAACAGCGATAGATGAATCCAGGTCTTATATGGTTGTTGGGAGGATGAAAGAAGGCGCTGCCTTTGGGTAATTTATTTTGTACAGTGCCCAGCGAACTCAGTAAGCAGTAGCTGCGGCTTTCTGTTTATTATTACCAGGCTAGCTGACGCTGCTAACTGACAGTGCTGGGATGAGATCAGGTGCCTGGTCTCTGAGACACTGAACATGTTGCTTGCTCACACCCCAGGGTGGCTCTCCGCCTGAAGTCCCATCATCTCTAAATCATGGGAGGAGATTCAAGTACAGCTTGTCTCATTTTTGTCTCTGGTTGTGCAACCGACATAAGCCCGATCACCTTAACTCTAGATTAGACCTAATAGCTTATGCTTTTTTTGTATATCCTTTTCTTTTTGCCTTAGCACCCGGCACGATGCCAGGCACACAGCAAAGCACGCCGAGGTGAATGAATGAATGGGCGAATAAGTGAATGATTAGCTGCTGCAGGCCTTGGTGCTGACACATAGCCTTCCCAGCCAAGGTCTTCAGAAAGCTGGGAGGTCATTCCTTTGTGAGTGATGGATCAGCTTCTCCTCCCCGTCCCCCCCCCCCTCCGCCGCCAGAACCCTGTTTGTCCTTGGCCACAGGCTATGGACACGAGGAAGATGCTGCTGGCTTAGGGACCAGGTGGTCCCCAGGAGAGCACAGCTGGAAAGGATGGAGGG